AAAACCACTGAAGACATTCATGAAAATAATTACCTTTGTGGATTAAATATAATTACTGGAAAATCTGAACTTTTTAATTTCTGCTTCAGTCCTGTTGGTGGTAAGAGTGTCAGTAGTCCTTCACATAGTGCTAAGGGAGAGAGAGAGGTGAAGTCACCACACCCATCAGTGGAGAAAGACCGACCCGATCACGAGGATGCCCCCACCCCTGTCAGCTCAACAGGTCCTCCAAGGGCTGACAAGCTCACCCGACCAAGGTATGATATATCAGTGATCTAAATGGACTTGAAAGTTTTCGAAATCTTAAATGTACAGTGAAAACTGTTTAGTTCAAATGAGCACTGGGACACAAATTTTGTGTCAGAAGAGACAGGGTGTTGGATTGCATGATAAAAGAAGGTAGGGAATCGAAATAAAGGTCGGAATCACAGTGAAATGGATTGCACAGGTGTAGCATTAGACAGTTTTTAACTGTATATGTTAAAGAATTGTATTTTGAACATGTTGACATAAATTTCAGACATCCTATTTTTCTTTCAACTTTGTAGTACCCCACCTAGTCGCACAGCTAAGTTTGAAGAGTTCAAGCAGGAGAGAGGGGTAGAAATCAACAAAATCCTTGTAGAAAATAAAGAAATTCTAGCAAGCAAGAAGAAAGCATATGCAGATTTAGCTAAACAAATAAATAACACAAAGGTGGATATTGATGCATCAAGAGAAAAATTGGATAGACTGAAAGAAGAAAGAGAGGCAAATGGTAAGAGTTACATGATAAACAGTCCCTAACATTAAACTGATGTCTCATTGACTGATTTTTTTAATAGTGTGTTTTATGACATGTTAAACATGTACATACAAGACAGGAGTTTGATTGAACAAGAATAAAAACTTGAAAAAATACATGTACACCTTTATTGTAAACCGGGGCCCTCCTTTGCCTTTTCTCTCAAAATTTTGCATTTAGAATATATCCAAGAAAATTTTGGTTTGTGAATTCCTTATTATTCACAAATGTATACAAACTACAAACTGAGAAGTTATTCTTTATTCTCTGTAGCAAACAATAATTTTGTTATCTTTGTGAAAATTAGTCACACACAATGGCAAATCAGATATATAAATACACCATTAAGCAGACACTCAATCTCTATAGCTACAATAGAACCCAAGAACACTTTATATGCTAGCCATCTTTCATTTCCTAAGTCTTTTTTTTCACCATTTTATAGGACCTCAATACAATGAGGATGGAGATGTCATTATCAGTGAGGAAGAGTTCCTCGAGATCAAGAGGTTAAAAGACCTCAAACAACAGTACAGAAGTGGTTATGATGAACTGAAGAACCTGAAAGCAGAAGTCCAGTATTGTCAGAAATTGGTTGACCAGTGTCGACAAAGACTCATTAATGGTCTGTTGCCTTCTCTTGTTTCAGTAGAATTATCTCCCCTTGAATATCAAAATGTTCATAAGGTGCATTTTTCAAAGTGATTTATAGATTGAATTAAGTGTGCTCTTTTTTCTGTGCTCACAGAATTTGACACCTGGTATGCAGAGAGCTTCCTTAATCAGACTGATGATATATCCAGCTCAGCAGCTGGTCATGGGATGAGACCAGGAGTGATCCTCCCCTTCAATCCAAACCAAGTGGTTAGTTATATATTTTTTGAAAAATTCAGAAAGGATAATATTGTATAGGGGTTTAAAAGTTTGCCGATTTATAATTTCACTTATTTTTCCGGATAAACCTATGTCTAGTGTTTGCTAATTCATTGAAGTATTCAGTTTGTCATCCGCATCGATCTGTACAAGACATTCAAACATATTGAACTTTGCTTGAATTCGTAGCTTAAATAATGCTCTCATATTTGATATTAAATCATTAATTTTTCTTTGATTCTTGAGCAGTAATTTTATAATACATGTACAGTAAAACACACTTGCAGTGAAGTGCTAGGGACAAATAATTTTGATTCATTATAAATGATATTCTGTATATCCATTTAGTTAATATGTTTTAAAAATCACAAGGAAAAAAATCACTTCACTGTAAGCATGAATTCATTATTAGGGTGTTTTCTATAACCATGTTTTACTGTAAATTTTTAATTTGTCAATATTTTAGCCTGAAGATGAACAGGAGAAATTTGATCGCCTACAGATGGAGTTACTGATGAACAACCCTGACTCTGCTGCATACTATAATGCACAAATGAGGACACAGAGACGGGTAAATACAGATTTCTACGTAAACCAAATTTTATTTGCATGCAAGAAATTCTCGCAAGTTTTGCGACCTTTTTTTACTTGCAAATATTTTTAGCCATGAACCAATTATTCACTTGTGTAAATATGTATCATGTTGAAAATGGATTAAAAACTGATGAATCGTTAATAAAAGATGTTGGATTACAGTTGATGATTGGATTGTACAGTAAAACTTGTCTAAACCAGCTTTCAGTGGTTTTATAAAGTTTCGTCAGATAAGACAATTAACATTCAAATTAAAGAATGATTTAGAGGTGTGAAGTAATCCCCTTTATTACACGTGAAAGCTCATTTCAATAACACCCACTCTGTATATGTTAAAAAGGAAATCTGATTCCAAGTCTTTCTTATGTATATTAAATTTTCTGTTTATTTTTTTTAGAAAACATATGAACATGCCATGTCGCAACCTCAGCCGTCACTGCGCCCCTCCCCAGGGATCCCGAAAATGACCGTCAGAAACAAACCTCCAACCATGCTACAAATGTCCAATTAGACAGTATTATATTTTAATTGCAACTTGATCACTTCTGTTGTTGGGAGATTGGATAGTTAACTATTTCCTATTCTCATGACAGTGTATTTACAGAATTTTTACATAGATATCATTTTTGATGACACAAAGCTAGTATGTACTTAAATTCTTTCCACAAATACTGAATCTTTATTGTATACAGAAGTCTATGTACTTATGAATCTATAAATACCATTCAGGTATTTTGTTATTTTTTTATTCATTGTACATCAAAATTTCAATGTTGATATATATACATATAAACTTTTGTATTATAACTATTTATTCATATATTTTCTGATGAACACTGTTGTTACACAGATCTAGAGAGAATGGCTGTGCAAAATTATGTGATTGGATAAATGATTTCTTGCAGTTCTGTTCAGGATTGACATTTCTGTGATAAGGTTTTGTGTGGTATGCTTCCGTCCTCTTGTTGTTTAAATCTTTGGAAGTATAATGTAAAATGTTAAAAATAAAGATCAGGATTTAAAATTTTATTTATTTTTCTGCTGATTATTAATTATGGCACATGTACCATTGTAAAATAATGTCTCAAATGTATTTGGTATCAGATAACTTTTTGATGAAAACAGTTAATAAGATGCAAGTTGAACTAACAGGAAAGATAAAACTGGAACTATGGCAACAATTAAAATTGAAAGGGTACCCACTCATATACAGTTAAACTTTGGTATCATTTACACCGGTATCTTGAATACCAGGATATGTTGCAATTATTTGGAAGTCCAAACCATTTACTGGGCCAGGAAAGATGAAACTCATGTGGAATCATCCTCAGGTAGTGTAGATTCAATTTTTTCAAAATCATGATCCCAGGGGGTAGGGTGGGGCCACAATGGACGATCAAAGTTTTACATAGGATATATAGGAAAAAATCTTTAAAAATCTTCCTCTCAAGAACAGCAAAGCCATGATTGGTCATATTAATATGGAAGCATCCTCAGGTAGTGTAGATTCAACTTTTTTCAAATCATGACCCCCCCCCCCCATTCGGGGGGGGGGGGGTATGGTAGGGAGGGGCCACAATGGGGGATCAAATTTTTAACAATATATAGGAAAAAATCTTTAAAAATCTTCGGCTCAAGAACAGCAAAGCCATTTGTTATATTGATATGGAAGCATCCTCAGGTAGTCTAAAATTCAAGCCCCCCCCCCCCCCCCCCCCCATTTAAACTTTCCAATTCTAAACTGATTTGTGCTTTTTCCTAGCCAATGTGCTAAGGTGAGCGATGTGGCCTCTAGTTTCTTGGTCCTATTGAGTTTGAGATAATGAGGTTTGACAGTATTTCACACAGGTGAATTATTAGGCTTATACATGTATTAAATTAGTTTCTATAATCTTAGATCAGGTTTGGTATCTTTGGAAATAAGAATCTTTTGCATCCAAGAGTGATTCTTTCTTTGTAAAACATTTTTTCTTTGACTGTGAAAATAATTTAACTATAACTTAACACCTGCTCCACTTTCATTGAGGACCATTGTGCCAATTTTGGTACATATGTTGTACTGTGGAATTATCATTGTTCGCGGGGGATCAATGTTTGTAGATTTCGTGGGTGGCCCTAAAATATGCAAATTACCCATAAAATTACATCCCCACAAACCAGGAAAACTTTGGTTACCCCCACGAACAATAATGACTTCACAGTATGTTAAACTAGAAATATTCAGAGAGGAGGGATTTTATCTATTACACAGATAAGCTTAAAGCTTCATCTATGTAAATCAAGTCCATGAATCATTACTCAAGAATTTACACATATTAATGTTCATATATTTATTTGAAGCTAGAAAATCACAAAATTACCGGTGAGTCCCTAGAAATCCATATTCAACAACAAATTTTTTACTCCTGACAATTGCAGCTTCTAATATAATTTGGATCTTTGAGTAAATTTAAGAATAAAACTTATGAATGCTCCCAACTTCTTTGCAGCAAAAGAGGTAGGAAAATATCATTCCATTAAAATGTGTTACTCAAAAATCTTTATTCTATGAACATCTAGCAATTGTATGCTCTTAACTGTGAGGCTAGCATTCTTGACCAGATGGCATCATAATAGACAAACAAGATTTTTTTTTTTTAAGAAACACATCTCAAGACGGTATTTAGAAATCACCAAAATTTTGAAAAAAGACAGTAACTGCATCTTCAAAAATTTTATATGAACTAACTGAAATCACAAGAAATTGACATCTTTTAAAAATGAATTTTAATAAAAGCAAATTTGTACATTAACTATCTGGCTTGTGCAATGAGAAAACTCTTGCTGTGTTGTCCTCTGAAACTGACACCAAAGTTTTTCCATCTCTGAAATAAAATTTCAAACAAATTATCTGCAGTTTCATGTAGTTATTTCTCTTGTTTACATGTACATGTAGGATAACATTTCCCCAAAAATTTTTAAAGGAAAAGAAAATTACATAGCAGGTGTCTGGAGAAGCTCTTAATTAATGTACTTATGCACATCCATTAAATTTAATACACTTAAACTGAAGTAATTTTTCACCAAAAAATTAAAAAATATACACTATAAAAGAACTATCATACTTTGACACATCAAAGTCAAGTAGGGCGTCCTGATGTCCCACCCACTCCGAGGAGCACTTCCCATTTCTAGCGTCCCACAGTCGGATAACCCCGTCAAGACAGGCTGTGTAGACCAGGGGAGAGGATGTGTCCCATTTAACTTTTACCACACCTCCCTGAAACAATCAAAATAAACAAAATTCCACGCAAATTACAGTCAACTGTAATAGTGTTTTGAATATATACCAGTACAGTCTATAATATACATACATGTAATAGCAGAAATATTCACTCTGTCATCCTTGAAATTTTTAAAGATTAAAAATCTAAACTCTGCTACACATTATTTAGCACAATAATATATCATGTATTTTACTTTGAAAGAGCACATTCAACTTCCTCTCTTTGGATGGTATCATAAAGAGTATTGGACCAATTAAGAATACAAGAGTATGTACAAATTCGTCTTGGTGTACCGGTACTTACAATGTGTTCATAGGTATTACAATTTGTTTTGGTGTTCTTACAATGTATTCACAGGTATTATGCTTTGTCTGAGTGGACATACAATGTGTTCACAAGTATTACAATATTGGACTGAGTGGACATACAATGTGTTCACAAGTATTACAATCTGTCCAAGTGACTTACAATGTGTTCATAGATATTACGATTTGTCTAAGTGGACTTATGATGTGTTTACAGGTATAACGATTTGTCTGAGAGGACTTACAATGTGTTCACAGTCTGCGTTCACAGGTAATACAATTTGAGTGGACTTACAATGTGTTCACAGGTATTATGATTTGTTAAGTAGACTTACAATGTGTTCACAGGTATTATGATTTGTTTAAGTGGACTTACAATGTGTTCACAGGTATTATGATTTGTTTAAGTGGACTTACAATGTGTTCACAGGTATTATGATTTGTTCAAGTGGACTTACAATGTGTTCACAGGTATTACGATTTGTCTGAGTTGGAATGTCCCAGATAATCAGCTTCCCTGTCAGAGTGCCTGTGGCTGCTAGGGAAGATTGCCTAAAGATGAAAACATCTTATCAAATAATTACTGTGCAAATAAAACCATGGAAAAATTATAATATAACCACAATATCTGAACTTACGAGTCTGAGAATGCACAGCTTTCCACTGAATTCTCTTTTTCTGTATTCTCCTCTGCACAATTAAATGTGGTCACTACCTACAATGAAGTATGAACACAAAATTATTTAAGTTAAAATTTGAAACCATAGGTCTATGGGCCACAATGCTCACCTGAATCACCATTCTCTTCCTGATAAATGAATCATATAGAATTTATTTTCAGTATACTAAGGCTTAATATCAACTTCACAAATTGTGTTCTTCTTGTTCTTGAAAATACATGTATCAACATATTTCAATTGTGGTCCGAACCTAGTCACTGAGATTTTAAATACAGATGCACTGTATTTAGCACACTTATTACACACATTATTCTATTGTTCTCTTAATTGTACACTTTCTTTGCCTGTGGTGCTGTTGATGACCCTAAGTTTACATTTACTTTGCCTTTGGTGCTGCAGATGACCCTGAGTTTTACACTTATCTTGCCCATGGTGCTGTGGATAACCCCAAATTTTACACTTACTTTGCCTGTGGTGCTGTGTGGATGACCCCATGTTTTACACTTACTTTGCCTGTGGTGCTGTGGATGACCCCAAGTTTACATTTACTTTGCCTGTGGTGCTGTGGAGACCCAGTGTTTTACACGTACTTTGCCCATGGTGCTGTGGATGACCTAAATTTTAACACTTATTTGCCCGTGGTACTGTTGATGACCCTGAATTTTACACTTACTCGCCCGTGGTACTGTTGATGACCCCAAATTTTACACTTACTTGCCTGTCTTACTGTTGATGACCCTGAGTTTTACACTTACTTTGCCCGTGGTGCTGTGGATCACCTTCGCTGTGGCATCTGTGGATCCTGTCAGTATCAAGTTATTATCTTGGTGACAGTCTACACAGACGACAGATGATGTGTGAATGTCTTTGCCTGAAGTAAAAATAAAATATGCAGTAATACAAAGGTAAATTAAGCATCTCAACATTAAAATTCTACATTAAATATCAGAGTGTGTTTCACATTTAGGTGAATAATATCAATTATGAAATTTTCAACAGTGAAATACTGTAATTTATTTATTGAATAAAAGTGACATTCTAAAACAGTGTGAAAGGATACCAAAATGGTATTCTCAGTGTGAGAATATCAGAAGTACGGCAAAACATGAGATTTTCCTTCCCATCACGAAGAGTGTTTTAAAAAAAAAACTCCCTGACCTGTTATAAGATAGACAGAGTAAATGAACCATCCTGACAGAGACTAAAACTGCCAAAGTTTCTCCAATTATGTTGTTAAAAATCCATGTTTACAACATTTTTCAACCTAGCCATCGCTTAGCTATGACGTCTCAACCGCTCAACTATGACGTCAAAGCCTATGACACCATGTTACAAAAAGACAGAGTCAAAGGGAAAATCAAATAAAATGTAATAAATAGAAAATTCAATGTTTTGTAGTTTTATTGTTCTATTGGTAAAATGAAAATGTCCTAGGACCCAGTTTAACCATAATTGTGGTTAGGAGCTGTCCAGAGACACAGAACTGTTACTGATAATTTTAGCTTGTCTATGTTGTAGCACTACCAACAAGAGGTCCAGGGGCCACATCGCTCACCTGAGCAATGTGGCTAGGAAAAAAGAAAAATCAGTTTAGTGTTGAAAAGCTTAAATGCATAAGTGGTCCCAACCTACCCCTAAAAGGGAGTGGGGGTATGATTTGAACAAAATTAAATCTACACTTACTAAGAATGCTTACATAATTTTTTGACTGTGACATTCTTCTATACAAATTGAACTTTCATTGTGGCCCCACCCTCCCCCTGGGGGTCATGATTTGAACAAACTTGAATCTTCACCACCTGAGGATGCTTCCACATAAATATGACCAATCATAGCTTTGCTGTTCTTGAGAAGAAGATTTTTGAAGATTTTTCCTATATACACCTAGGTTAAACTTTGATCGTCCATTGTGGCCCCACCCTACCCCCAGGGGTCATGATTTGAACAAACTTGAATCTACACCACCTGAGGATGCTTTCACATAAATATGACCAATCATAGCTTTGCTGTTCTTGAGAAGAAGATTTTTGAAGATTTTTCCTATATACACCTAGGTTAAACTTTGATCGTCCATTGTGGCCCCACCCTACCCCCAGGGGTCATGATTTGAACAAACTTGAATCTACACCACCTGAGGATGCTTTCACATAAATATGACCAATCATAGCTTTGCTGCTCTTGAGAAGAAGATTTTTGAAGATTTTTCCTATATACACCTAGGTTAAACTTTGATCGTCCATTGTGGCCCCACTCTACCCCCAGGGGTCATGATTTGAACAAACTTGAACCAACACCACCTGAAGATGCTTCCACATAAATATTACCAATCATTGCTTTGCTGTTCTTCAGAAAAAGATTTGTGAAGATTTTTCCTATATACACCTATGTTATACTTTGATCGTCCATTGTGGCCCCACCCTACCCCTGGGGGTCATGATTTGAACAAACTTGAATTTACACTACCTGACAATAATTCCACATGAGTTTCATCTTTTCTGGCCCATTGGTTCTTGAGGAGAAGATTTTTCAATAATGCCATTAATTTTTTGCTATTTCTTAATTATCTCCCCTTGGAGGAGGGCGTGGCCCTTTATTTGAACAACTTGAATCCCCTTCACCCAAGGATACTTTGTGCCAAGTTTGATTGCAATTGGCCCAGTAGTTCTGGAGAAGAAGATGAAAATGTGAAAAGTTTACGACAACGCCAATGACAACGCCGACAGACAATGGACAAATTTTGAACAGAAAAGCTCACCTGAGCCTTCGGCACAGGTTAGCTAAAAATGCAGGTAGATTCAACATCAAAGAACATTTCAATTCACATTGTTGTTTCATGAAATCTACATGAAATATAATTTTTAACAAGGAATAGTGATCAACTCATCATAATGCATACATTATCAAATTTTCCCCCTCCCCTATCATATTTACAAACCATTCACGTGATGTAAACATGTTGCTGTTTTCATGTCCCAGACTTTAACTGTCCCATCTTCATATCCAACACAAAGCCTCTTTCCTAAAAGAAAATGGGTAAATGTACAGAAGTGACATTTATTGTTGTATGATTTTTACTGACATAAACATATTTGCTTGTCTTGATGGACAGCAGAAAAATTGAAATGTATTGAAAGAATTTCTTGAAATACAGTTAATATATATTTGCGTTTCAGTATAAATAATTAGCTTTTGGAGAAGATTTGTTCAAAATGATAAAATTGGATAATTAACTATGTCTTTTAAAAGACTTATTAAAACCTGTTTCAGTCAATTTCTGTTGTCTTGCTCATTTACAGCATGAATCAAACATTAAACTTACTAAACTAGCCAAAAAATGTAACCAAACTATCCCATACTGACCATCTGGCAGAAGACATCCACTTCCTGATGAAGATCCATGTCCCTGAAATGTTTTACAGTCACCACTGGGAATCTTCCACATCCAAGTGTCTCCATCCTGTGTGCCCACAATGAGGACATGGGCAATTTGGTGCCACTGCATCCACTGAAATTAGAATGCAATTATTACAGAAGTTCTACAGGTAAAATGTTAATCACACAGGCTTGATAATGCAATTTTACACATTCTTAATATTCCAATATCAGATAAAATTTTGTTGTTACTTAAAATTTTAAAATATATTTTTTCAGCATTCATTATGTTGATTTTGTAGAAATAAACCCCACCAGCTTCTGTTCAACTTAGTAATTTAGACTACACGTAATATCTGCATTTACATCACTGAGTATGATTTCTAAAGTCTAATCATCTAATAAAGTGCTTGTTAAGGATTCTGGGTTTGATATTTCACAAGATCAGTAACATTATTTATTTATCAAATACTGGCAATGCAAAAATTGTTTCCTTACCTCAATATCTGAGCACTCAAATGACCAGACTTCTTTTCCAGTCTCCACTTTCCACACTTTGACAAGTCCACTTAAATCCGCTGACGCTGCGTATACACCATCATGACTGAATCCAACACATGTCACAGAATCTTTGTGACCTTCAAAGGATATAAAAAAACATTTCAATATTCAGGTAATTAAAAGATGAAGGGTAACTTTTAGTGATCAGATAAAAAAAAAAACAATCGTTTAGTACAGTCAAACTTCATTGTTAGAGTTCAATCAAATAAATTTGAAATATCTGAAGATTCAAAAAAGAAGAAAGTTTATTTAAAAAACTCACTTTGAAACATCCCTGGTTTTAGACATATCAGTGTTCCAGACACTAAAAACCAATTGTATAAATATGTATCTACATTATATATATCTCACCATCACACTGGAATTTGGTTTCTCCTGAAGAAGCAGACCAAACATAAGCCGTGTCATCCTGACCTCCTGTTATTACAAGGTCACTGGTCTTACTGTCAATCCGTGCAGTAAAAACGGAATCTGACGAAAAAAATTAATGGAATATCATTCACAGATCCTGAATCTAAAATTACATACATTACTTATTTGCATGATTTCAGAATTAGAATAAGAATGAAATAATTTCATATTAGTTTTTATGTACATTAAGCAAAAGATGAAAGAGAATTTCAATAAATCATTTGAATTATCATAAATGAATAAGCAGACATTATAAAATATCTATAAATGCTCAAATTTCAAAATTTTGAAACACAGGAATTACCAATCACATACATGTATATATAGTACATATATATCATTCTGTAGCTGCAATAATGTAGCCCTCTCCATTTGGGAGGGGGGGGGGGCTCTCCAGAAAATATCAGATTAAAAAAATCGGGGAAGGCTAAGTTATTGCAGATATGGTTACCTTGTTTAGCACGATGCCAAAATATGTATTCTTCAGTGAAATTTATTAAGACTTGAGCCCCCCTCCCCCCAAAAAAAGAACTGAAAAAATATCAAAATTAAAAGAAAAGCTTAAAATAACCTGCATGCTTCTTATAAACAAAGGTAGCATCATCCCTATAGGTAGCTTCATCATCAAACTCATCCGAGTCATACTGGACTTCATTCTCCAAGTCCATTTCATTTATATCAGCTGACAAATCTGTTGGAAGAAAATTCACATTTTGTTCATAAATCATCACCTCATCTGAGGAACAATGTCTGAAACTCCTAGATAGCAATGTAGGACAATACTTAAGTGCTGGACAGGTCAAAAATGCTTCTGTATATTTCACCTGCTGTTTTTTTTTCTTGGACTCCACATAACTGAGAGTTTTTTTTTTTTTTTGATACATTTATGCTCAATGAATATTTCAAGGTATTAAAGATTTAAGAAAATGAAAAATATAAGAAATATAGGATTAGGACTATTTTACCAGACTCTGATTATCAGATAATTTCTTCAAATTATCCCCACACTACTTTTATTTGTAACTTAATTTCCTTGTCAAATTTCAGTTATGCAGAACTTTATCATATCATTTGTTACTTTAAATTGATAGGTTAAGATACAAACTATATTTTGTCTACCTATCCTGTATTAGTTCCTGTTTTCTATCAGATGTAAATGATGTTTGGAATGATGCTTTGATCAAAGATACCATTTTTGCAATTGTACTGATTTTCCAATGAGGCTGAATAAATAAACAGTCATATTCGAAGTTTAAGGTAATAATGAAACTAGAAATATGTCTATAGGACATGAATGCCCAGCGGAGTGTATATTAGTAATGCAACATGAAAATTTGTATTAGTGTATGAAGTTTGATGAGAATATCTTGAATAGTTTCTTTAAAATTGAAATTGAAATCTAAATAATTGGACATAGATGATAAATTCTCACCAAATTATGCATAAGTGCATAAGCTTACACAAAAATATCTTAAATGGTTTCTTTAAAACTAAGCAAAGTTCAAATTAAAGAAAAGTGAGGTCAAGGTCACAGGAAAAAGCATGGTCAAAAGTTTTTGATGCAGTTGAATAGCTCTCACTAATATGTATCAGCATATTAAGTTTGATAAAAATATCTTGAATGGTTTATCAAAAACTGAGCTAAACACTAATTTTAAAAAAAGTGAGGTCAATGTCAAAGGAAATGTCAAGGTCAAAAAATGTTGATGCAGTTGAAAAGCTTACATCAGTATGTATTAGCATATGAAGTTTGATGAAAATGTCATGAATGGTTTCTTTAAAACTGAGCTAAACACAAATTTAAGAAAAGTGAGGTCAAGGTTAAAGGAAAGGTCAAGGTAAAAAATGTTGATGTAGTTGAAAGCTAACATCAGTATGTATCAGCATATGAAGTTGATTACACTATCTTGAATGGTTTCTTTAAAACTAAGCTAAACACTTATTAAAGAAAAGTGAGGTCAAGGTCAAAGGAAAGGTCAAAGTCAAAAAATGTTGATAAAGTTGAATAGCTCTTATCAATATCTATCAGCATCTGAAGTTTGATAAAAATATCTTGAATAGTTTCTTTGAAACTGAGCTTTGAACTGAGCTAAACGCAAAGCACGTCAGAAGGACAGACAAAAGGACAGAAGGATGGAAGGACAGAAGGATGGAAGACAGACAGAACAAACTCTATATGTCCTGGCCATATTCAGGGGGGGGGGGGGGGGCATAAAAATTGCTTTGATGAATTTTTTAGTGACATGGGTGTCCAAATATGTTGCATTGGAAGATGGAAGGTCTGATGCACTTTATTTACATTGTGAATTTACTGTGACATCATGTTACATACATACAGATTGTATATATATATATATGAGGGTTGTCCGTAAAGTTCGTGGACAAGCTAAAATTTAAATAAAAGTTGCGTCATAGATATTTATCATTAGTATATTTATAATCCTTTACTATGTGTGAATTACAAAATGAAAATTTTTATTCAATTTTAAGTGTATAATTACAATTATGACTTCATTATTAGACTTGGGATGGTGACCCGGAGCACAACAAAGTTTTTATTAAAAAGTTAGTTATCACTTTATACATTTCATTTGTATTTTGTAAAATTCTGCGGAAATTTGGATGGCTTTTACATTATAAGGTTGACAAAAGTTATAACGTCAAACCTGTAAAATTTGAAAGTTCAAAGTTTCGAAATGGCAGAGAAATCGAGGTCAGAGAAGACAGGATCTTCATTGTTCGAAAAAGGGACATTTTCGGAAAAGGTGGAGCAGAGAGTAGTGATATAATTTTGTGTAGACATCGGAAAAACACCAACAGAGACTCATAAATTCTTTACACAGTCGGAAAATCATGGTAAAGTAATCTATTCTTTAGTGTTTAAGTGGCACAGAAGATTTTCGGATGGAAGAGACAGTTTACTGGATGACATGAGTGAAGGAGGACCATCTTTCCTAGATTGTAATGCTGTAAAAAATGAAGTTCGTAACGTGTCTTTGTCGTATTTCCGTACATACAGTCGTTTTACGCGGACAGAGGTTTATGATTTGCAGGATCTGAGACAGGAACTGTTAAATATTATTTCACGTATGAAATTAAACCAGAACAGTTTGTGCACATTTTTGATGACTGGTTGAAGCGACATAAGAAATGTGTTGAGTTTAACGGTGACTACGTTGAGAAAACTTAAATGTATTTAGCTTTTGACGTCGAGTAACGTCAAGGATTTTCATCTTAGTGCTCCGGGTATGGGTGTGTATTTTTTTTGTATCTGATAAAATATAACTATTTGTGCTTTGTTTGTGATTAAAACTTGCATATTAATAAACTGAAACATGAATTTAATGAAAATAATAGTTTCATATAGTTTATCAATGTTTGTCAGTAATTACCAATGATGTCCACGAACTTTATGGACAACCCTCGTATACATCATTTGTAAGGAAAGCTTTGCTCTGATAGGCCCATTAGATATTTCATGGACTTGAGTATTCTAATCTGATTACATCCAGTGATTGACAACTAGAAAGAGAATTAAGGGAAGCTGGTTTTAATAAGACACGAGTTGTTGTAAGTTTTTCTTTTGATACTAATCATGTATACTTATTTATGTACCAGGTATGTAACAAGATATAGGAATGTTCACCACTCACCACAGGGGTTTTCAGTGCCCTGTGTGGGGCTGAATTGAGGCCTCATTTCCAATTGCAAAAACTCTCCCCTTTTCCTCCAAAATTGAACCATGTGTTTTCAAATGGACAAAAACTTAGATAAGAATATGTGTAAAACAAGCAGATCAGGGTCAGAAATGAATAAGATTGGCTAAAACTTTAAAAAGTTCATGATGATATAATTTTTTTCTCTGATTGATAGTTAAGTAAAAGATCAATTTACTCATCATTTAGTGATCATTTCTTGAAAACTGACATGCAATATATTTCCCAATTAGTGATAAAATGTTGTTAAATTCCAAATTCTCTGGGCCTAGTCTCCATTCCCAAACTGGAGTGGAAAATTTCTAAATTTCTTTAAATATTAGTTAACTGTAAATGTACCTATATTAGCTGCATTCATATGCTAGCACCTTTCATGCTGCTTCTTGTCTGCTAATTTAGATGCTAAGATATAATTAGAAATAATGTATGTCATATTAAAGACTCAAATTCGCTAATTTATGCCTGCAGTAATCATTGTTCTAAATTTTGAATGTGTGTGAAATTACAAGAAGGACCAAACAGAGCATTGAATTTCCCATGAGTCTACATATTGGAAGAACTGTCATCAGATCAAAAATGGATTGATAAAACAAGGTTTTTCATTTTACTTAATGTATGGTACATGTTGATTGAATATTAAAACCAAAATTTATTTTTATCTAATACTGCTTGGTTGGCATTGAGAGTAGTCCAGAAATTGTAAAACAAGTCTATCAAAATTGATGCCAGAGAATTTCATTTTGTTTTCGCTTCCCACTTCTCAGTCTGTCTGTTTGTTTTTCAAATGAACAGGTTGGGCACACACCACCAAATGGTCATTTAACCCCCGTTTGGTGGTCAATCGCCCATATCGGAGTCTGTTTTACTGACCAAATGGTGGTCTTTTTTATTCAAATCCAATTTTTATTAAAAACGCAAAGGCGCACTGGCATAGGCATCTGGGAATTTTAGTTAACATATTCTTCGCACAATTAATACAGTTTGGTCTATTTTCCATGTGTAATATCTGTGGAACTTCGTAAAAACGATACATATTGCTGTCCGTGATGGCCGAACTTCTCGCTTAATCAATCCAAAAAAATATTCTTTTGTGTCTATTGGATAAATTTCTATTTAGACCTGTTGTTTAACTCTTTAAAAGTTAAAACTTTGAATAAAAGATTTACAAAGTGACAGTTGAAATTATTCTTGTTTTTATTCCAAGAACATCGTTTTGAAGCAATAATTATATCATGATCTCATTGTATATCCTATTTTTATGAAGAATAAAGCCAACACGTACAAAATAAAACAAAATAAAAGCAAATTCTTCTCTTTCCTTTTATCTCCTAATTGAAAATTAACACTAATGTGCCTCCGTAGTTAAATCAGACTTTCGACCAGGTTCGAAAAAGATCAGCATAAATATCAAATTTGAATTATTTAATTAAGATTATGGTAAATTAAAAAAATACTGTAGCAACATTTGACAAATAAAACACCAAGTCGTAAAATATTGAATAAAATTAATAATAAATGTTGATATTTACTATATACTGTATATATAATAGGGCGAACGAGATATATGCGAACAAGATATAGGGCAAACAAGAATAATGTACAGACCCTGCACGAACGGACTCATGCGAACAGGTATATAGGGCGAATGAACCTGATACTGTGCCCAACCTGATGAAGGTAAATATTTTGTGATGTGACTAGCTCCTGGACCCCTGGGCTTGAGAATGAGAGGGCTAGAATTTGTTAATGATTCATTGATAAACAAAGCTAAGTGCGTTCGCCCTGATGGTATTACATTCTAATTAGTTGACTTACTACAGCCTAAGTATCTCTAATGTTTTGTCAATGTATACGTTTTTTTTTAAATTTTGTTTGACAGCTGATGGCACAAGCTGATCTGTCGAACAATAATTGTCAAATAAGCTGCGGATCGAACAAAGCTTCATATTATAGGAGTAAAAAAACAAACCCCCTCCTTCGTCGTCATCATCTTCATCTGGAACAGGTTCATTCTCATCAATTTCAATCACTTCTACCTCTTCTTGCTCAGGATCCATCGCGTGCAATGTTATCAAATCAAATCAAAATAGAGCTTGCGTAAATTACTTTCGAAACTATAAGTTTCAAACACTTAAATGACACAGACACTACTCTTTAAATAGGAGATAAATTTTGTCCTAAATTCCATCTACATCATAAAAACGTTTTCTTTGCACCTAAAACTACGGAGTGTTTCAAGCGCCGAATTTACCGAGAGGGGTCAACAAATATTCATTTTCGGAGGATTTAGCTCGAAATAGTTTTTAGTCATGGATAGAAAAAGAAATCGTGGAGGAGACATGAACTCAATTTTCAAAACCAAAAAAGTAATGGGTTCAATGTAAGTACAAAGCTTGAAAAGAGGATGAATCATAAAGCTCTAGCTACTTACGTAAGGGAGAGAGAGGAAATTCGAACTGGATGTCCAAATTATTTAGGTCTATGATGCAATCATCTATCTACATTTCATTTTGCTATAGGTTAACATTTTTAATGGTTATTGTAATTGTGGCCATTGGTTTAGTTAGGCAATAAGATGTTGTTTTAATTTTTTTTCAGGAATAGCATTATAGCAATGCAATTCAGATTGAGATGAACACTGTCAGCTGCACTACTGCACGTTGACTTTTAGATGTTCTAATAATTTATTTATTCTAGGTATTTTCGTTCTTTTACAGGTTATTAGTTGGATTGATTTCTTTCCCCATATTCTTTGTTGTAAAAGAATGGCTTGTGGAACAGAAGAGAAAACACAATGAAGAGAGAAAGAAAATAATTACAGAGTTAAGGAGGAAACAAGAGGAAGCATTTGAAGAGATGGAAAGAGCAGAAAAATTAAAGGAAAGTCAGACGTCAAGCTGACAAACCCACAATTTAAGGATTTCTTTGAAATCGTATCTAATGTATGAAGTTTACAATCTGGCAAGGACTGTTTTTTTTAAGTGTGTGCATTTCTTTGTTGATGGCTGGACCCGCAAAACAACAGAAATGTACCAGTAAAAAGTTGAGGAACAATATTTGTGTTATGCCTGGGAAACACTTGTCTACTGTTGCAGACAAATGTATATGAACTCTTTGTATATATGTATTGAGAACTATTTGTATATATCCTAGATAAAATTCAGTATGCTGTGAAAACACTTTTTATTTTTTAGTTGTTTATTTCGTATTTGTGTTTAAAATATATCAGTAAAATGCTCATTAATATCAATTATTATGGTGATTTTTCATTAGCTATTTTTTTTCTAACTTAAGGCTCCTTGAACCCGTTTGTTGGCAAAAGATGGAGGGGTGTGTGTGTTAATTATCAACCAGTTTCTCATCCTCACTACGTCAGGGGTCCTGAGTCAACATGTTGCTGTTGGACCCTTGCCAAATTTCATTCGATATCTTTGGGCTTGCTTCTCTCATTGAGAAGCACCAATCAAATTGAAGTAGACAAATAATACAAAGAGAAAGGAATAAGTTGACACTTAAAATGCACATGTTACGTATTGTTTATTACCAAAAGCTAATGTGATTGGTTGAGAGATAAGGAAAACAATCAAGATTTGTAATTTTCCTGAAAGACTTTGCTGCAGTCAGCCCACAAGATATCGAATGAAATTTGTCAGGGGTCCAGCAGCAACATGTTGACTCAGGACCCCCGACATTGTGAGGATGCCAGCTAGCTTCTGAACTTATATATTTTTTTTTTCATGGAAAGCAACTACCATGGAAAATCATGGCCTCTGACCAACATCTCTGCCCCAGAAATCTAGCCAAGCCAATGAACTAGCAAAACTGCATTATATCACAGTGGCCTTCTTTTTATTTGTATCTCAAAGACTTCATTGCAGAGTTACCAGTCATAACAAATTTCTTCTGCTGCTCATAGCAAACTAGTTATAGCAGACCAAAAAAAAAATAGAATGAAATAAAACTAACCTTCCTTATGCCAAACTCTTAGTTAAATGATAACTGCACATGCCCCATACTAGCAAAATAATGAACAATTGTAAGAAGCGTGCAAAGTGAATTTATGAAACAAATACAATCACAATGTCCATATTTCTATAAATGTGATATAGAAGGAAATAAAGAACAAATACTACTTGAAAATTATGGCTAGACTAAGAATTGAACCGAGGATCCTTGCATTACTAGTCGGATGTTCTAACCACTGATTCAGAGCAATCCAGTCCATATGTTTTCCAAACTATCACTGTGGATTTGCTTGGTTGTATACAATTTTACTTGCATTTGGAAAAATGCAACAAAGAAATAATTTAATTCTGAGTCAGGACACATTTTCTGATCATAAAAAATCAGCGTCTGTTGTTTTGCATTAACGAAAGTATGGACTAGACATGCATGTGACACATCCAATCCCAATGACCTTGTTTCTGCAGAGACTGTAACAAATAACCAAACGGTCAGATCATCCTTGCCTCACAGATAAGCTTGTAAAATTTTACATTTCAAATTTATTATCCATATGGTTGTAACCAAGATCCTATTTCAGAAGAGGCATGGATCTGGGGGCTGCTTTGAGGCCCCCAGTGGTTCTGGGATGAAGCCCTGATGGGGGCCCAGTCCCTAATTTGTTTCAGTGTTTTAGGATCAAATTCTCCACTTAACCATAAAAAAAATCTCATGTTTTAAACATTACATGCTTAACAGGTAATGTAAAATGACGAACTGAATTTTTAATCAACATGTTGTGCATATATGTATAAACTTAGTTTCAAGTCTTACAATCAACCAATAAAACCCATATCTTTTCTCTCCAGCAGTTGCCTCAACTGCCTCATTGGTAGTTAAAAACATGATCAAGACACAGATTTTCCACTTTTTTTATGAATTTGTTTAAATGACCCTGGTTCAGTGTCTTGTAACACTTATCAGAAGCTACATGTATCTTTTAGGTCAAGTTGGAGTGTCTTACATTTCTCCTTGGCATACATCTACCTTCTCGGTCCCTTTGATCTTGTTCAAAAGATCTTGAGTCAGAGGGTAAAGCCAATCCCAACTGCAATCATCTAGTAAAAGCTTAACATTGCAATACATCTCAATCCAAAGTTACTTACTGAACATAAATTTTACATTCCTAATCCCTATGACCTTGACCCTTTAACCTTTGCCACTATAATATTATATTATTATAAGTTTTAATGTACCCCCTAGTACTCACGACTGTTTCATTCACTGTTTTCATTAGGCTACTCACCAGGTGGCAGCCAGTACTAGGGGATGTGGAAAAACTAATTTGACAGAGAAATATAAACCTAGTTCAGTTGTTGACATTGCTACATTTGAAATGTGAACTTTCCCCAAAAAGTATTTTATCAACAAAGCATTCCCAATTCAGAAAAAAACATAGGTAATCAGAGATTACAGAGCTCACCTCAACGAATGTTGTCTTTAAGTAAGGCAAAGTCCCACACTAAACTAATAATCTAGGAGTGTGCATCCCTAGATCCAACATTTATGCAATTTTGGTCTGATAGGGCTTGCAGTCACTTGGGAATAGACTTATATGAAAACTTAAAACTAGTCACTCATCCAGAAAATGTAAGTCAAATCCAGCATCCGAAGCAAGTTTTTGAGATTGTTCGTCCCTTGATGCATCATCCATGCAAGTTTGGTTCAGATAGGCCTTATAGTTACTTGGAAATGAGATCTGCTCTAAAAACTTTAACCTGGTCACTCATCCGGAAAATGTAAGTCAAATCCAGCATCCGAAGCAAGTCCAGTAGTGTGCATCCTTAGATGTATCATCCATGCAAGTTTAGTCAATATAGGGCTTATAGTTACTTGGAAATGACATCTGCTCCAAAAACTTTAACCTGGTCACTCATCCATAAAATATAGGTCAGATTCAGCATCCGAAGCAAGTCCAGTAGTGTGCACCCTTAGATGTATCATCCATGCAAGTTTGGTCAATATAGGGCTTATAGTTGCTTGGAAATGAGATCTGCTCCAAAAACCTTAACCTGGTCACTCATCCGGAAAATGTAGGACAGATCCAGCATCCGAAGCAAGTCCAGTAGTGTGCAACCTTAGATATATCATCCATGCAAGTTTGGTCAATATAGGGCTTATAGTTACTTGGAAATGAGATCTGCTCCAAAAACCTTAACCTGGTCACTCATCCGGAAAATATAGGTCAGATCCAGCATCCGAAGCAAGTCCAGTAGTGTGCATCCTTAGATGTATCATCCATGCAAGTTTGGTCAATATAGGGCTTATAGTTACTTGGAAATGAGATCTGCTCCAAAAACCTTAACCTGGTCACTCATCCGGAAAATATAGGTCAGATCCAGCATCCGAAGCAAGTTCAGTAGTGTGCATCCTTAGATGTATCATCCATGCAAGTTTGGTCAATATAGGGCTTATAGTTACTTGGAGATGAGACCTGCTCCAAAAACTTTAACCTGCTCCAAAAACATTAACCTGGTCATTCTTTAGCTGAAATTGCAGCATCTGAAACCTTGACTGGTACAATAAAACACACTAGAAGCATCATCCATGCATCTCTGACTAATATAGGCCATAGAAGTACTTGAAAAGAAAACTGCTCCAAAAACCTTAACCTGGGATGCTGACGCCGAGGGTATTACATAAGCTCCCCCAACTTCGTTGAGGTGAGCTAAAAAAACTAAGACACCAGATTTGACAGATTCACACTTGCATTTACTTTATTAATCACGTTTAATAAAAACAATAAAATATAACAACAAATCAATTTGATTTACAAGTTTCTTATTCTTGTAATCTACTCTTGAGAATGATAGCTTTTAAATGTCACATCAAACATCACTTCACTCAAAATTATTGAAGACTGTTTTGTTTAATTAAAACTATGAGAGGAATTGATTGGGATTTCCTTATGAATTTGATGACAAGGATATTAATGTTGAAAATGACTATGCACATTATGCAGAAAGGATAAAAGCACTTGGTGATGCAATTATTTTTATGATACATGAACTAGGAAGCGTTCATCGTCATACTCCATCACACCTTTCAGAGTTAATATGGTGTTGTTCTACTTGTCTTTTCTTTGGCACAAGTCTTGCTTGACCATGTTCAAGCCTTTGCTACTTGAAAAACTCTGTTACCCGGGTATTTTCAAAATAAAAATTTGTATGAACCAAGATTTCCCTATGGTAAATTGTTTCCCTTATAATAGAAGTAAAGTGACCATCTGTTTGCCAAATATATTTTTTCTGTAATTATTTCAATAATTTGAAAGAAACAGAGATCAAATAAAAAAAAAAAGAAATTCAAGCAAATTTAGTATACCATACAAAGACAAAATTTGAGATAAAACATCGTTGAAGATGACAATTTTTTTTTTTTTTTTGTAAATAGAGAGTTGCCTCTCTTGGCAGAGTGTCCATTCCTACCTAGATGCAATTCACACAAAAGGCTACCTGATTTTTTTAGTTGCTGATGACTCAATACAGCATAACAAATGCCACTTTAAAGTTAGACAAAGAACATTTTGTACTCCTATTTTGACAACTAAAAATAATACATACTTACTTAATTACATACCAATTTTTCAAACAGATGACTTAAAATAGAAATCACTGTCTCTGTATCAAGCTATAATTTATGTTCAATGAACATCACGGTCAAGACACCTGGGCAGTGGTCCAAATTTAAACCTTATTCCTGAGTTAAAAATTAATTTTTCGGTCTTTTTACTACTTCTTTAAAAAAAGCACTAAAATCTAACACTCTTGGGTCATCATCATCTGTCTTTATCACCATTACTGCAACATAAAAGACAGATTTCAAATTATCAGTGAATTATAAATGGTTGAAATTCATAATTTACATGAATTTTCACTTGCAAATTGGACATTTCATTTTTTTTTATGGTATATACAGTGTCTGTAATTGCTCTTCATAATAATTTTATTTGAAAGAGCAAAGTGTTACAATACTGGTATGAAGATGGAGGAAAAATTTTGTGAAACTTTTTCATGAATAGAAAAAGCATATGCCTTACATGAAACATTTACCTAGCTAGTGATGATAATGCCTATGAAATTGATTACTGTATGTTGATTTCATCTGCAAGCAATTAAAATAATAAATGTGATGATTTCAGTATTTGATAGAAGTCAGTGCAAACAAAAGTTGAGGATGGATTAAATGAATTTCTGATCATAAATACCAAACCAACAAACAAGTGTCCTGGTTCATGCATTAGTAAAAAAAAAAGCCAAACTTGCACTTGTTAGTAAGAAGAAAGACGAATATCTTTTTTTTAACAGATGACCATATTATACCATATATTTCAATAATCCAAAGCTTTGTTACAGATTTTAATGAAACTTCCAATAAATACTAGTACTGTTATGTTTAGAACAAAATTAGAAATTATTAAACATGCAAACATAAATGGAAACAAGTAAACTGTCATTCAGAGTACAGAAATATACAGTGATAATTTTTGTGTATCATAAATATTGTACAAAAAAGCAAACAATAATAAAAATATAAACAATCACTATAAAAAAGTTTCAAAAAATCATCCCAGTTGTGATTACTTTAGGTGTCAGTGAGAGAGAAAGAGATACATAAGTGCTGTGTGCATTGAGGTTGTATAGATCAGAATTGGAGGTTTAAGGCCAACCTTGTCAGCATATCTTCTATTCCCTTTGTTAGACCATCACATCTGTCAAGGAGGGTCTACAATTACAGATGATGTTTTATAAAATATTTAACTAAATATTTTTTTTTAAAAAAAACCTATGGTCACAATTCTTACAAGAGCAATATTTCTCTTCATCATCTGCCTTGGCTCCAAGGACATAGCCTTCTGCAACTTAAATATACACCTGCATACATAGATAGCCAGAAGACCTTGGTTTCTATGTAAATCTTTGTCCCTCTATTGTGGCTCCATCCTAGCTCCAGATAAAGAAGGGCAATGATTATTGAAAAAAATAATCTGTGTTACTCTTTATCTAAGGAAGTATTTCCCAGTATTTTAAAAATAAATATGAGTTTTGTCTTTTCTAACTCAGCAATTTTTGTGATGAATATTTTTATCAAATGACCTCACCATTATTTTACCATTCCTCTAAGCAAACTTACGGGTAAATCCTTCTAAATACATGTATATGATCAAAACTTAATACTGGTACGTATCAGGGATGGGGTAATCGTAATCGAGTAATCGTAATCGATTGTAATGATTACTTTTTTCCTAGTAATCGACAGTAATCTGTAATCGAAGAGATTTTCGATTACTTGTAATCGTAATTTAATCGATTACAGCTAAAATTTTCAATGTAATTATAATTACTTTTTCGATTACTTTCGATTATTTTATACTATAAATGGATGTTATTTTGGAGAATTACTTTCAGTCAGTCACCCATAAATATCAAATATAAACCACCTAGTGTAATGTTTGGATTTCCTAATTAAGTTTATTATCATAAGTTTAATAATGTTCTCAATAAATTTCGCATTATAGACTTACTGGTCTAGTATTAAATAATTCAGAAGTGTATTTCAACCATTTATTAATAAAATATACAGGTTTTTCGTGTGCATTTTACATTTGACCCACTGTCCTCTTGCTGCATGTCCTTTTTCATATTTCAGATGTTTAAAAACTTTGTCTTGTAATAGAAAATTATAAATAGCAAAAACAGATTTAAGTGCTGTATTAAATATAAATAATTTGGTAAATAAGCAACATTGTACTCGGAAAAAAAAAGAAGATGGAAATACTTATTCATTTCTGAAAATGTTTAAACAACTTCAAACTTGTATTTTAGTAATTTTAAAAATTTGCAAAATCATACTCATGTTTTCATTCAAAACTGTAAGGTTGCTTTTATATTAGTGAGAGGTTATAAGTGTCTGTAAGAGAGGGAGTGTGTCACTGTGTTTGCTTATCTTAATTGGCTAATTAATTGACTGAGACATCCCTGATTTGCAGATAATGAGGTGTAAACTGTGAACTTTTATTCCATTGACGACAAACAATATTATTAAAACAATTAATAGCTCTCAAAACACTTAATTCAATACAGAATGAAATTGTGCTATTTGTTTCATTACTTAAAGACACATTTAATTTACATGTTTATTACTAAAAGTTCTAATTTACTCTCTTTTTTTGAAAAAGACAAGCACAGGAATGTTTAATGTGTACTGTCAACATACGGGCAGCCCAAATACTTCTAACGAAGTAATTCACAATAAAATATTAAATAATTTTTGCAACAAGTCAATAAATATGGAGGTTCAGATCTAAGATTGAAAGGAATAATTAATTCCATGGCATATTTTATTGTAGGAATCATGTCTCCACTTTCTATGGTAGAGAATCCCTCATTTGGGCATTTAGTGAGAATATTAGCCAGAATAAAACCTTAAAAGAATCTGCACTGAAACTGCAGGAACACATTCAAACTTCAGTGGATATAACATCAACATTCACCATTTAAATATTTCTTTGATATTTGAAGCGATAAAAACTTCAAAGTAATCGATTATTAATCGATTACATCTTCCAAAGTAATCGATTACAATCGATTACAGGACAAAAATGAGTGTAATCGATTAATAATCGATTACACAAAATTCCTCTAAGTAATCGATTACATTTTTCAGTAATCGTGCCCATCCCTGGTACGTATACATTTTTTTCTTTTCAAACTGGATTCATGATTACCCATATCAGTTTAGAGGAATATTGCCCAAAAATGTGACTGTGCTATTATATAGTAACAAGTATGCATGTATTTATCATTTTTACCAAGTATTCAATGATAATCCCAGTTAGGAGGTTACATGAACATGTATACACTGCATGTATGAAAAATCCTTCAAAATATTCCTATCTCTTTAATTTTCTCCATTATGAATTTTGATGAAATTAATTTTCTGCACAATGGACAAACAGAAGTCAAACTTTGATTAAAAAAAATTCACTAAAGCTTTTTGCTTAAGCGAACCTTGAAAACATTGATGAGAAAAACTACTTGCAAATAGCAATTTATAGATAAAATCCTTATGTGTATCTATAAGTCAGACTCCTTTATCATTGTCATAAGTGAATAATCCAAAAGCATGGTTCATATCCCTCAATACATGTACATACCTGAATTCTGTCCACAAGACTCTTACGTTTTGCCCTCCCTCCAGTATTGTGTTCATCTAGATTTAAGCTGTCTAGTGCCTCCAGCATTTTCATGTATTGTTCTATCACATGGGCAACTCTCTTCTTACTTTGTTGTAAAGCTGGGGCCTTTAGAGATTCATCCATAAATCCCTGAAAATCAAAAAGGAATAATCAGTTTTGAATAGAGTATTTCTAAAGAATAAAATCAATTTACTTTAAAAAAAAAATTAATAAAATACTTGTCTAAACAGGACACTCAACCTAGGTATAAATTTACCTGGGAGGCTGGGACAGTACTTATCAAGAAAATATTTGCCCCCCCCCCCTTTTATTTTAACCCCTTTAACCTTGTCATAAGTGGCACTGTGGATTAATTTAAAATGTCACAAATTCAAGAGAAACACAGTAATATCTTCAAAAAAAAATGTGGATGGACAAATTTAAGGGGTGAAATTGTTTCCAAGTGTAAAAGAGCAAAATAAATCTGTATGCAGTATTTATATTAAGCATTTAGTACAATCATTTTCTTGAATGTTTTTATTTATAGGCAGATTTGTTGTATATAAGAACTCCAAAATATCTGGTCACTGTTATACATAAACCTCATTATCCAAGAGACATTTATAGTTTTTTATGAATATCAAAACTGAAGCTAATGGACAACAGGACTTTAAGGGAGGAAAACATAAAACAACATTCTTCCATTCTGGGTGAGATTTTCCCCCTACCCTGTGTATTCCGTCCAGCTCATATGTGACCTCACTTAATTTTTCTTCCTCTTTCTTTAGAGACTGCTCTATGTTATGTAATCTCCCCATCTCCTTGTCATCCATAGGATCAGGCTAAAATCAGTATGTCAAAAACTGTGGTTAACAATGCCATGACTTGTGTTGACAATAAATATATGCACTATGTTAATATTTTCTACTCTCATAAAATTTGTTAATATTCATATCTCTTAACGAGGTTCGCTCCTGAGCTTTTGAGCAGATTTTTATCTTAACCTATATTTCAAAAATTCTCCATAATGTTTTAATTAATTCTTACAATAAATTTGGATTCTACAATGCCAATTTAACTATATTCAGTTAAAACTCCATGATTAAATTCCATACCAAAAGCATTATGTGAGGAACTATATTTTGTGGCGGAAGGCTTTTTAGAAGAAAATGATCATTTTTTCTCTTTCGAAGTATCTAAAGTATGTTAAGTTTGGATTCCTATTTTTACATGCAGTCTGCACACATAGTTATTTTTTTGCAGTGGACTGTTTTACACTGGTCCTAAATTATTTATTAAATAAACTGTCATAAATTCTATCATCATATTTGATAAATATAGCAAATATATTGTGAAAATGAAGAAAAAAAATAGCCCTAATTTAAGCTTAAAATTAGCACTATTTTAGTAATATCTAAAAATTAACATCACAGACCCCCACTTTTAATTTTCTTTTCTGAATATATACGATACTTTTAACCATTCTTCTTAAATTCAGTAAAATGTCATTACTTTCAAATGATTTTTTTGCTTGTTAAATTTTTAATGCCAGAAAAATGAAAATGTTTGAGTGCAAAAAGGTGAAATAATTGAACATGCGGAGTAATTTGAAAATTTTTCGTTGTCACAAATTTCAGTGTGTCTATTTAAGATAAAATAAGACTGTTTTTGTTCCCATAATTTATCTGATCAAAAAATATTGAAGGAAAAACTTAAAAATTGATTTATGTGTATGATGTATTTTCAGTGCAAAAAGGTCAAACTAAATGCTCTGTAGCACCAAAAGAAGCGCATTGACCCCCATTTTTTGTTTTCATTTTTAATAAAGCTATGTGTATGAATTCTAAAAATATACTTGATAAAAAATTCTCATTACTTTTGATGACAGGATCCAACCTCCTTAAATGGTATATTCTTCTGAACTTGAAATACAGAAGATCTATTTAATGGTAACCTGATTATCAAATGGGAGGTTCTAAACTCCTTAATATTTGCTTTTATGAAACAATTTATCACAGAAAGGAATCTATGAATTATTGTACAAGGAAAACTTCAAAAATTGATGGTTCAAAACATACATGAAAGAATGATTCATTACCCGTTTTCCAAGAAGCATGACTTTTGCATTGTCACTTAATCCGACAGAGCTCAGATATGCCTCTGGGTCTTTGTTTAAAGTTTTGCCTGGAACAAAGAATATATGTTCTTATAAACAAAAACAGCAACAATGTTTTATTTTAAGTAAGAAGTATTTGGGCTGAAATAAATACTATACATGTATGCAAAAAATTTCATATGTACTATTAACTAAATAAAATTACTCAAAATTACACTATAATTATTTAATAAGTTTCATCTTAACAATTTTACACATGTATCTGTCCAGGGTTAATTCTTAGACAAAATACATGTATTTAATATCTCCAGTATCAATGAATCAAAGAAATTTTTTTTTTGATTCTTTAAATTTTGAAACTAAGAATTACTGAACCCTTCGACCTTTATATAGAATCTTTTGATTGGCTGGTGGAATTTCTGTAACTTCATAGATTTTTTTCACCAGGTCTTTGACTGTCAGTACATTCCCTTGGTCAGCTTGTAACTTAATGTCATAAACTTTGGTACCTGAATGTGTAAAAATAAAATAAAACATCATGCCACTATCATTGGTGAGAACTTGAAGAGCATTTAAGAAATAAGATATCATTTTTTAAGCTTTATTGGGATCCGATATGACATGAACTTGGTCAAGTGATCAAATCCTATAACCCCCGAAGGGCTTTACAGTAGATTTGATCATGTACCAACTTAATGTGATATCCAAATCAAACTCTAAAAATTATATTTTATTTCTTGTACCCTATATTTTATTTCTTGTACCCTACTGCGTGCATAAACCATACCCTCCGGGTAACATTACATAGCAACTGTTGACAATGCATGACGACAGGTAACAGTACAAAAATTGTTAACTGTGCAGAATTTCTACGCACACAATTTACTGTGAGTTTTTTCTTTTAAGTGCATTCTGAATACACTCAGTATAACAAAAAAGCATATTACATGTTTATTAAGGGTAACATGTGATATTGTTATCTCTTGGAAACCATTGCTGACCTCGGCTTTGCCTCGGTCAGCAATGGTTTTTAGGGGATGACAATTTCACATGTTACCCTAAAATACATGTAATATATTTATAATGTCAGCTTTAAAGGAATGAGGAGGACTAGCCCATCCTCATTGAAAAGACTCTTACATATCATAACTTCAAAAATATAATTATCCTTCTGTAATATCAGCAATATTTAAAAGAATTATAAGCAGGTATAGACAGATAGGGCATCAGAATCAACTGACCATTTTGAAGAGTGGCTATTTTAGTTTCATTCTTAACGTTATGCCAACTTTTGACTATTGAAAGTTAAAAAAAAATGCCGAAAAGTCTATCACTTTTCAACATTGTTCTTGAAAATAGGCCTACCGTATAACTATCAGCTATGGGTTTACCGAGAAAATTCGGAATGTGTAAACTGTTGACATACAAAACAAAGCTTCCAAAAACATATACCGTGTTTAACATGGAGTTTCATACTCTTGGCTGCTGGTTTCGCGAATGCCATCAATCAGCAACTTTTAAAGCGATCCTTTTCTGTAGATATTGTTGTGTGTTCGATTTGTTGTCATTCAGTTTGTTGTTGTTTTAAGTAAAGCAGAAATAGTTAGTACAGATATATTTTCCCCGGATGCAGGTGCGCTAACGATGTCTTCTCGATAGCAAGCCGATATTTTATTTCGGTAAAGAGTATTGCTTGTAAATAACACTTAACAATTTAGATTTTTCAAAAGAAAAAAGTTTTATACTTTTGATATTCTCAAAAACTCCAAGAAAGCTGTGATATATTATTTTTTTTCTAATTTAGAAACGTTAGTTGACTGTTCCACTTGAAATACATGAAAGCCCCATTCAATAGTACGTTTGTATTGTATTATGAAAAGAAGTGTACTTTGTTTATTCAGTATGAGCTAATTGTTAAATATGACGAAAGAAGTAATACTTTTTTTTTTTTAAATATCGTATACAGAACTGTATTTTTTTAAGCGTGGTATTTAGAGTTGATTCATCCTATCTACGTACCCAACTGCAAACTTAGTCCTATTGCCTCAAGTTCATTCTCTCAAATATGTATACAAGATACAAGAAATTTTATTTACCAATCAAGGGTCCCGAGAGGCATTTCCACATATATAAATGCACAATTTAAACATAATTCACAAAATACATTGTTTTATCATATGTATATGATCTTTAAAATAGGTATGGTTGAAATACTCTCCCAGAGATTTATGAAGGAATTCAGTACAAGATGAACAAAGAGTTAAACGCGGAAAAAGTTAAGTTCAAGGTTATGGGAAGATCAAAGTCATAAGGGTTGGTCAAGGTAAAAAAATTATGACAGTTAAATTGATCTTTATCAATATTGACAACAATATCTTTAAAATGAAGTTCATGTTAAAATACGATAATTTTTTTTTAATTTGATCGTATTTTAACCTCTCACCAAAATGTATCACTGTTAACGTACAATGTACATGTATGAAGTTTTGGTGAAAATATGCTGAACAGTACCCGTAAAACTGAGCTAAATGCAAAACTAGGAAAAGCAAGGTCAAGGTCAAGGTCACGGAGAAGGTCAAGGTCAAAATCGTATGACACAATTGTTCTCACCAATCTTTGTTTGAAGTTTGATTAAAAAAAAACCTGGAACAGTTTGTTTGAAACTGAGCTTTATGTAAACTGTGACAGATTGATGAAGGTTACAGCACAGGAGTTCGCGTACCTATCAATTTAACCGAAATTTTCAGTAAATAAAAAAAATACGTAATACCTATAATAATTATTATAGGTATTACGTATTTTTTTTTTATTTACTGAAAATTTCGGTTAAATTGATAAATACGCGAACTCCTGTGGTTACAGGCATGACAAACACTTTTTGTCCCGGCCATAAATAGTTCATGGTAGGGCATGAATAGAGAGAGAGAGAGAGAGAGAGAGAGAGAGAGAGAGAGAGAGAGACTTTTACATTAATTCATCCCCGTGGTAGACAAGGAGCAAAATGTACTACCTGGTTAATAGAGGATTTCGCGGAAAAGAAAAAAAAACTAGTACTTCACGGTAAAAAAGGATTTTTCGCGGAAAAGCAATGTGGACTCGCGGAAAAATTTAACAGCACAATTTTCCTGTATTTTTTTTTCCAGAAAAGGGAGTGAGGTGTTCCATACCAACTCTTCCAAAAAAAAAAAAAAAAAAAAAAATAGATCGACCCAAAGGACAAAACCTTATTTTAAAAAAAGAAAACTAATTCAAACCTGAAAAACCTATTTTGAAAGGGGGACGTCACTTTACCTTCCTACATATCTTACTAACTTTACAAAGTTTACTTGACCCTTCCCCCCTTCATATTTTTGGGGTATTTTACCATATGAATTTTATATATACAAGCGTCCGTATGTCGACATTTAGGTATTGGATTTTCGTAAATGTCTGCCAACGATGAAAATCAAACTGCGGCTCAGCGCTCGATAATCTGGCGACGGTTGGCCGACTTATAAACACTTAAACTTTTAAAGTCATTGGTGTTTCTAGGAATTATGTGACTGCTCCATGTCGCCCGATACTAATGTCGGCCGATTATGTTTTTCAGCCAACGATACGAGAAAAATTTGGTCGCCCGACCATCGACTTAAATGTGACCTATGTATAAGTAATCGATACCTTTGTGACTACAACCTATGCAAGCGCGTGTTTTAAGGAAGCTCTAAACACCAAGGAAAAAACATTTTTTTTTTTAGACTTTAAGAACATTTTATCATATAAAGGTGTACATTATGAGCTAATCTAGTTCATTTCCAGGATAATTTAGTGTCTGCCTTATTTCCCCAGGAAAATTGTTCAAAGACAATCGAGTGTTATTAAACAGAAATCACTGTTGTTTACTTACATTGGTAATCAATATGTAAATACATGTACTGGTCTAATATAATGTTAAGAATACCTCAATTTAATACTGTGAACCTAAGTTAACCCTTGAAAGTAGATGGCCCTTTGTTCACAACAAACAAAAAGCAATATTAATTTTATTTTGTAATTCGGGAGAAAGGAAGCGGGCAGTACATTTGATACTTTTTACATGTTTTATAAGGGGGGGGGGGGGGGTCTATTTAATGAGAACTTTGATTACATGAAATATTTATAGTTCCTTTATTACATATAGTAGGCGTAGAAATTAAAGCAAAATAGTTCCACATTCAGTCTATTGATAATTAATTATAATTAAGTGTATATTTTCAAGATGACAAAAAGTAAAAAGTAAAAAAAAAAAAATAAATAAAAAAAAGGTAGACATCGAAAAAGTATCATATGTTCATTGTGGTAATGAAATTTCAAGTAAAACTTTACCATTTACCCATGTAGGGGATAGGTTCACTTTTTTCGACATGAAACATTTTCGAATTTCAATCATCACTGAAACTACGTGTCTGAACGTTACGTGTGGATAAATTGAGAGTATAAACAGGTTAAACAAGGAAAATGCACACAAGACCACCAAAAAAAAAAAAGAAAGAAAGAAAAAAAATCTCAAACGAGGGGGGGGGGGTGACGCCCGGCACACCGGTGTTGGATCCGCCTTTGAATAGATTGTTCTTCAATTAAAAAGCTTTTGCCATCATTGCTAGACATCACATATCATATCTAATTTCATGGTATCTAATGCTAGATTAAAAGAAATTTGATTTCTCTACAAATTAATTTATTCTTTTTCTTTTATGGGATACAAATGTCAACTTTTTACAAGACCGTTTCTAAGACTTCAAAGAACGTTGAATCATATTGAGATGCATGAAAATTGTTGCACCAAAAGATTCATTTCAAGACTTTTGAAATAAACTAATAAATTTAAAAGTTATCCTTCCTGGCTGAGGAGCGGATATCTTTAATTACATTTGTTAAAATCAAAGAAATTGTAATTGCAAGTAATTGACAACATTATCAATGTATTTGAAAGTATTTAATTACATTTTCAAGTAATTGACCCCAACCCTGGCGGCTACGATCTTGAAATATGGTTCCCCAACCATCAAATGGATAATGAAATTAAAAGAAATAATAATAAAATCTCAACAAGAAATCGCACAACAAAGTTTATTTTGATGAATTAAAAATTATACCGCGAACACATCAACATGTAATGTAGTAAAAAAAAAAATAATTTTACAATTGCATTACTCATCATGCTTTTCAGAAAGGGAAAAAAAACTTTAGAAAACCTACGAAAAACCTACGAAAAAAGACAATTTACAATCGTATCACATTTCATGAGAGAAAAAAAGAAATTCTAGAAAACTTAATATGTAAAAAGATACTTTACAAATTACACACCTTTCATGCTTTTAAGAAAGGAAAAAAAAGAAACTTTAAAAAAAAAACTATAAAAATGACACTTTACAATCATATCACATTTCATGCTTCTCAGAAAGAAAAAAACTAGAGAGAGAGAGAGAGAGAGAGAAAAGAAACTCTAGAAAAAAAAACTACGAAAAAAGACACTTTACAATTATATCCCTTTTCATGATTTTTAGAAAGGAAAAACTAGAGAGAAAAAAAACTATGAAAAAGACACCTTACAATTACAACCCTTTTCATGTTTTTTAGAAAGGAAAAACTAGAGAAAAAACCTATGAAAAAGACACCTTACAATTACATCCCTTTTCATGTTTTTCAGAAAGGAAAAGAAAAGAAAAAGAATCTCTAGAAAGCCTCTATGTACTAGAAAGTGATATTTATTAGCACAAGGTGTGCAACATTAAAATGTACTAAACAAAGTGTTCTTATCATTATTTATGCATTTTATTTTATTTTTACATTATATTTTTTTTCTAAAAAAAATTATTTAAAAATATTATATTGCTAAGAACATTCAGTAAAATGAAAATTGGTTGCATAAAAAAAACAAAAACAAAATAGATAGTAAATTAAAATTTAAGATCTTACTAAGCAAAATTGAAAAGGACAAAAATATAGAATATGCATTATTTATATTAGATTGCTTGATAAAATACCACAAAGATTATAATGTTACAATATGATCACTATATTTTTTCAGTGCATAAAATTAAAAAAAAAGGGATGTATTGGCAAATCGCTTTCAGTACGAAAAAAAAATATTTACTGAGTATAGTGTTTCCATAATTTTTCTAACAAAAACAAATTGTTCTTTGTTAAAAATGATTTTATAGGAATGCATTTCTCTTAATTTAGAATAATAATAAGAAGAAGAAGAAAGAGAAGATTGATTTTTTTCTGCAATGATGCATTAAGGGTCATCGATACTCTGATAAGAGAGATAACTTTATGAACTAAATGTCTATTATTCCTTTGTAAATTTATCACGTGGAAATGATTTTTTTGTTCAATGTTGCCTTCCAAGCTATGCTATAATTGTTTGTATTTTACTAATAAAATGCATTTCTTTTGAAAAAACATAAAAACTTAAGCAAAATTTTATATGATGAGTAAGCAGAGGGTTTATGAACCTTAAATTTGTCAAAAAAAATGTTTCTCCGCTATTCCCTATTTAGAAAGTAACTTACAGTAATGATATTTTTCAGCAATTATGCATT